AGGGCTCGAAACAGTCCTCGTGGAAACGGACAGGTGTGCTGCCCAAGAAGCAGCATGAGCTGGCCGGGCAGCGCCAAGTGCGGGTTTGAGGTTCGAGTTTACGAATTTATAATGGGAGCAACCGCCCCGTGGGAGGAAAGGCTCAAGTCACGTGGAGGTGATTTCGGGTCCAACTGCCACATGGCCTTCCCCCTCACGTTCGAGGGCGAACTGGCGTGGGCTGCACGGAGAGCTAAGACAGGCAGGGCCGAGGAGGGAGTTGAAAACCAGGCGCAAATTAAACGCTTCGTTTGTCTTGTCCCAGGTCGGGACTTCTCTCACGATGAAACTTTGGATGTCCCCACACAAGTCGAGCTGCTCATCAAACAAGCAACGTCCCACGAAAACCTCTGCCAGTGCTACATCGGCTGGTGAGCGGGCGTCCCCGGGCTCCTGCGTTGTTTACATGAGCCGTCAGGGCCCCTTCTGTGTCCAGGTCGCCGAAAAGGACTTACCCAAGTGCAGTCACAGTTTCACGTCTCCCTGTTTGTCTTCTTAACTGATCGGGGAGAGAGAGGAAGGGAGAAGAAGAGAGAGACAGAAACACCCATTAACTCTTCCACTCGTTTATTATGCGTTCATTGGTTGGTTCCTGTGTGGGCCCTGACCAGGGATCAGACCTGCAGCCTCGGCGTCCTGCGGTGATGCTCTGACCAGCTGAGCTACCCGGCCAGGGCCACTCGGATCTCTTCAGACGTTTGTGTTTACTGTGTGTGCTCATTGCTCTAAAAAAGGAGTAAATCGAGGCCCTGGCCATGTAGCTCAGTTGGTTAGAGAATCATCCCGATAGCCAAGGTTGCAGGTTTGATCCCTGGTCAGGGCACATACAAGAATCAATGAATGCCTGAATTAAGTAGAACAGCAATTCAATGTTTCTCTCTCTTAAAAAAAAATTAGTTTTTTTAAAAAAGGAGAAAATTGCCCTGGCTGGTGTAGCTCAGTGGATTGAGTGTGGGCTGCGAACCAAAGCATCGCAGGTTCGATTCCCAGTCAGGGCACATGCCTGGGTTGCAGGCCACAGCCCCCAGTAACCGCACATTGATGTTTCTCTCTCTTTCTTTCTCCCTCCCTTCCCTCTCTAAAAATAAATAAATAAAATATTTTTTAAAAATCTTAAAAAAAAAAAAAGGAGAAAATTGGCCTTGGCTGGTGTAGCTCAGTGGATTGAGCGCAGGCCTGCAAACCAAAGCATCGCTGGTTTGATTCCAGGTCAGGGTACATGCCTAACTTGCAGGCCATATCCCCAGTATGGGGTGTGCTAGAGGCAACCGTACATTGAGGTTTCACTTCCTCTCTCCCTCCCTTCCTCATCTCTCTAAAATAAATAAATAAAATCTTTAAAATAAACTTATCAAAATTGGTGAATTTAAAAAAAGGAGAAATTGAAAAATATAGATGCATACTTGGAAGGCAAACACCAAAATAAGTTAAAATTCATTAAAAATGGTTTACAAGAGTGAGACCTCCTTGTTTTGGGGCGGGGGCTGGGGAGGGGTCTTTCTGGATTTTTGCTGTCAATTCTGAGATGCAGGAAGAACAGAGAAAAAAGAAGCCAGAGCAGTGACAGAGAGAAGGAGATGCAAGGACAGATTTATGCTCTGGGATTGCAACACCGAGGACCGCTCGGGGGCGGCTTTGATGAATGGCCTCAGGCGTGCTGGAAGGGGGACCCGAGGGAAGGGGCGCCGGGGAGCACCCTTCCGGGCCACAGCCGCAGCCTGGGAGCAGAGAGGAGTGTGTCCTGCACGATCAGCGGGGGGAGCCCTCAGCGCGGGTCCTCGGGGTTGTCAGACCCTGGTCTTCCCATTCTCAGTGTGTCTGCATCAGGCTTTGAAGAAGCTCAGATTATTAACATACTCCTTTTCTTCCTGTCTTCCTAGGTGCCCTTTCTGGTGACAGGAGGCCCCGATGTGCCCGCAGCGTTTTTCTGGAGCCATTTGTCCTCGGGCGTGTGCTTCCGTTCAACTGAAGCAGTGGTCGGAAGGCTCAGTTTGTTCACTATTTCAAAATGTAAATGAAGAGAACTACTGTATATCGAGTTGGTCTGAACCAACTCCCTAGCTGCTGTTGAAGAATATTGTTGTCAGAAACACAGGGCTCGGTCCGGTCCCCAGGACAGTGAACACAGCGACCCTCCGTAAATCAAGCCATCGATCGTGGGGAACAGAAGATCTACAACTTGAGAAATACGGGTTTTGACTTAACTCACAACTCATTCTAAGCGTTCGCTGACAGCAGAGTGGCCTCGCCGGCCCTCTCAGCGCGAGCACGGCGAACTCAGCGCAGTCGAGAAGCCTCAGGTCGTGGAGGACGCCCTTAGGGTCCTGGGCTGCACGGAGGTGGGTGAGGCCGACTTCATCGCTCTCGCCCATCCCATTACCTCACTGGTCCGGCAACGACATTTGCAAGATGGGCCCAAATGGGTGGGGAAAGGCCCGGCTTCTGCCTCACCTGTGATGCTGCGATGAACACACTTCAGTCCGAGACCCAGGCCACGAGGAGGGGAGTTTTTCAGAATGCTGGGCGGGCGAGGCAGAGCAGATGCACAGGGCGGGTCACGGTGCAGCGGAGTGGCCCACACGGTTCTGGTGTGTTTTTAGGGAGGTCTGGATGCTCTGCGTTCAGAGCAGGGGCTCGGAAAACAGAAGCGCTGTCTCGGAGGCGCTGAACACAGGGAAAGCTTCGTACATGTTGGGAATGATGAGCAAAGGAAACATTAAACTAAGTGCACAAAGTATAAAATGTAGCCATGTCTAGACACCACGTTGTATCTGAATAATTTTTGTGCCAATAAATGACATCAGAATTTTAAAAAACATGTATGGATGGCTTTTTATTCATAATTATTCATAAAGGAAGCAGTTATTCCTTCCACCTTCATTAAGCACTTAGCCCTAGGGACTGGGACGGACCCTGGCTCTATATGACCTAGTCCATCTCTTCAAGGGGTTTACGGGCCTGAAATCAGGCGTCACGCGGGAGAGGACTGTGACTCCGCCGTGCCAAGTGGCAGGGAGCCACGCAGAGGGTATGAGCCACGGTGCGGCTCTGAAGGGCCGATTCCACTGCGCGGTGAGCCCGCAGAGTCTCCCGGGAAGAGGGACATTTGCCAAGGGGCTTGAAGGACGAGCACAAGCTGTCAGATGAAGCGAGTGAGTTCGTTCTCAGAGAAGAGGGGTAAAAAGCACCATGTGGTGCAGAAATGGCAAATGTCACCTTGCACCATACTAGATTGCAGGTATTCAGCCATTTTTCTTATATAAAATGGCAATGTCACACAGTGGGACCACAGTTCAGTATGACTGCCTTAGTGGTCAGTGGGGAGTAAGAAGACCAACAGGAATAATAGGAACCAAACAGGAGGCCAGAAAGTAGCGTGGGGGCAGACTGGCCTGCGTCACACTTCAACAGCAAGGAGCTGATGCTGCGGACAACAGGGAACCGTGTGAGGTTTTAAAACAGAATCTAACCTTGTTTCCTCCTCCGGAAGTGGGTAATGGTCTGATCCGCCCCATAAGGTTGTTTTCAGGATGAGATGATCTCTGTGACGCAGCGGTCCCCAACCTTTTTGGCACCAGGGACCGGTTCGCCAACTCACCTGCTGCTCACCTCCTGTCGTGCGGCCGGGTTCCTAACAGGCCACGGACCCCTACTGGCACTCGGCCCAGGGGTTGGGGGTCCCTGCTGGAAAGCATGCAACACAGCTTGACATGGCATTAGGCTGAACCATATGAAATAAATGCTCAAAAATACTGTTAAAATGAACTAGACTAGGCCTTTGTTCTGCCAGTGCACAAAAACCGTGAAAAACGTATCCTGTTCATAGGATATTCTGAATAACAATTACAGCTAACGTTGAACACTTACTAAGCCAAATGAGTTATATTAAGAGTGTGGCACCCCTGACCTTGGAGAGAGGATATACCCACCCAGCTTCTCAAACCCATCTCCTGAGCTGCTTAATGGTGCCTCTCAACGAGAGTGCTTCCAGGCATTCAGTGGGCCGATGTTCGGAGTCCCCAGTAGGTACCCCAAGGAGAGGCTCCGCCTGTAGGTGGGGAGGAACACATGACCAGAGGAGTCAGGGGGCCTCGGGGTAAGTACAGCGGAGCATATGAAATGAGTGCTGCTTGTCAGTACCGGATCCAGTACAAAGAGACAAGGATTGAATCTTGACGGCGCTTTATTCAGACGCCTGCAATCTGAGAAGATGGCAGGTGACGTACTCTGGAAGACTGTCCTAACCTCTCATCTCAAGCTGACCTTTTGATAAGGAGAAGAAAGCATAGGTACATAGAACAAGAGGTGCTGTCCCGGGTCAGTGTTCCTAGTGCTTCTTTATCTGTAGATCAACAATTCAGGGACCATCTTCCTGGGCACAGAGGTTGACTTGCTCCCGGACCTCCTGGAGGCAAATGGTCATGCATTCCAGCTCCCAGAATAACAGCTTTCCCCGTGCATTAATCACTCAAGCCTATCAACCGAAGCTAACATCTTTAACGCCTGAGTTCCCCTCACATCTGGATGCTTTTTTCCAATGATTTGCCTACAAGGGGAAAGAAAAATGCGATGGTGGCTGGAAGGAGAGGTGGGGCGGAGGGTTGTTTTTTGTCTTTTTCGCTGGGAGAGACGCCTGCAGGTGAGGACGCTGTTAGGAATGAACCTGTAGCCGGGGGAAAAAGCGGATGATGCAGAGAGCCAAAATCAAGAGGGCGAAGGGGCCACAAACCAGGGCTTGGGAAGAGCTGCCTTTAAATAGGATAACAGGGTCCTCCGGGTCGCACCCTAAATCACAGGGTTGTTGGGATGACAAAGTATGAGGTTAAAGGAAAATGTAAAGTTCCCTGGGGAGCAAGCAACTCAGGAGTCACAGCTCAAATCCTCCAAGATCTTCCCCTAAGAACACGGCCTTCGCACATGCGTGGTGCGCTCAAGTCGCGTCCGACCGAGGCACTCTCGCGAGAAGACCCTTGCAGGCGGAAAAAATGGCGCCTCCCAGTCCCCGGGAATCTAAGGCCCCATCCGCCACGAATGAGGCCAAGTCGGATGAGGAGATGGTGCTACCGGGATTTCCGGACGCAGACAGCTTCGTGAAGGTGAGTTCCCGGTGTCTGGGGGCTCCGGGAGCCGCCCGCGGTAGGACGGAAGCAGCCCCGGGCCCTCTCCGCGGCCGCCCTCCGGGCCGCGCGCGCACCTCAGCAGAGCCCCGGGCGCCGGGCTTGATCTCTCCCTTCGCCCTCCGCGGACGGGGTCTCTCGCAGACTCAGAGGGTCGCCCCGCGTCCCAGGGCCCTTGTCCTCCCAGGTGAACCCATGCACCCCGATTGTGGAGAGCCCTCTCCACAGGAGTAAGGGCTTCCTTGTCACCCCGATGTTCCAGCCCTCGCGACCTCGCCCCTGCCCCGGGCTGAGCCACCCAGCCAACTCTCCGGAGGGGCCTGGGCAGCTTTCTGTTTCCCATGCCTGCCTCTGCATCCTCTCCTCCCGAGCTCCATCCCTACATCATCCGCAAACCTGGGCGTAACGTCACCTGTTCAGGTTGCCGCCGAACCTTCCTGCTCTGGGTACCGTAGCCCAGTTACCAACGCCTCCTCGAAGGAACGCAGAGAGGGTTCATTTAAACCACTTGTGTAACGCTGCTCCAGTAGGAACAAGCATAAAACTAGGTTTCAACAGCTCGTGCGTAGCTCTTCCCAAACCATGAAACGAAAATAATTTGTAAATTAGCACGACAGATTCCCCCAAACTCCACTCGCATCCTATCTGATTTCCGAATAGCAGATGCTACTATGAATTCATGGACTTGGCTTTGCAAACAGTTCCGGGACCACTAGCCATGGTCCTGACTCCGAGCGCTCGTGCTTAGGGGCCACAGTGTGTCCCACCCGCAATCAAGTTCCCGCTTCCTCTCTCTCTTCTTTCAGGGAAACCATTTATTACACAACTCGGCGGTGAAGTCATTTGCCCTTCACATGACCAACCATCTTTTATCTGCGACAGCCACGTCAGGGTTTTTCCCCATTACCACACAATTAAAATAGAGGACGACTTGGCACTCACTGAACCATAAGCCCAAGTCCAGTCGTGGGCAGTAGCAGTTACCAATTGGTCATCCAAAGGATCTAGACCAGGGGCGGCCAACCTTTTGGTGTCGCTGGGCCACACTGGAAGAAGAAGAGTTGTCTTGGCCCACACATTAAATACACAAACACTAATGAAAACAAACAAAAAAAAATCTCATGTTGTTTTAAGTAAATTTACAATTTTGTGTTGGGCCTCATTCACAGCCATCCCAGGCTGCATGCGGCCCACCAGCCACAGGTTGGATGCCCCTGATCTAGCCTATGCTCCTGTTGTTTTTGCATTTTTTTTAAATCTTCACCCAAGGATATGTTTATTTATTTTAGAGACAGACAGACAGACGCTGATTGGTTGCCTCCCTCATGTGCCCCAACCAGCGATCGATCCCACAGCCTTCTGGTGTACAGGACGACGCCCCAACCAACTGAGCCACCTGGCCAGGGCTTTGTGTTGTTTGTAGATGCTTGCCCAAATGAAAACACAAAAATAAATTCCTGTAGGAAACTCACGGGTCTGAATTTGAGTAGTGATAGTAATGGTAGCACTTACATGGCAGGTACTGTCTTACATGATTTTATTAGTTCATTTACTCCTCTCACTTCTATGGGGTAGGCATTTTCATCACGCCTGTTTTTCAGAGGAGGAAACGAAGATCCAAAACAATAAAAGAACATCCCCGAGATCACAATTAATAGGTAGCAGAGTCAAGATTCAAGCCCATGCCATTTTGAATGTTAGTCGTATTATGTATGTATTTGTTCTTTCTCCCCCCACTCTCCCAAGAATGTAAGCTCCAGAACTTGGTTGCATGTTCAACCTTGTATCCTCGGGGCTTGGGGTAAAATCCGCACTAAATGAATATGTAGGATGGCGTATCTTCATCGTCTAGCACAGAGTGTCATATATAGTAGATGTTGAAAACAGCGCGTCTCTGGAGCAATGGGGATACATGTTTAAAACATGGTTGTTTTTCTGGTTTTTGGCAGTTTGCTCTTGGGTCAGTAGTGGCAGTCACCAAGGCATCTGGGGGCCTACCGCAGTGCGGCGATGAGTACGATTTTTACCGAAGTTTTCCGGGCTTCCAGGCATTTTGTGAAACGCAGGGAGATAGGTTGCTTCAGTGGTAAGTACTAAATGCTGGGGGAGGTGGGGTTTCATGTTGAAAGTAATGAATATAATTTCAGGAAATTTGTTTTTTTTTTTTTACCATAATATTTTGTGCTATAAAGAGCTAGGAAATATAAAAATGAAAATAATGTATTTTGGTTAAGGAACCATTACTTGGTAAATTTTGAGTTTAACTTTTAAAATGTATGGACTTTCACACCTATAGACAATGAATCTCTTTTGATTAATATAGGACTTGAAAACCTAGAACCAAGATTCTCTCATACAACTCACGGAGTAACAAGTTTTAGCTTTCTAAAACTTGTTTTACAATAGACAATACACAAACAAGAATTTTTGTCTAGCTGTTGCATGACATATTTAGAGAATGTTTTAGAGTTCATGCTAAAACAGTGACTGCGGAGTATGTTATTTGCATAGTATTACGTATATTTTAGAATGTAAAGGCAGCTTTGAGGCCACTTCTTCCGCCCCTTCAGTTGGCAGGTGAGTTTTTAGTGAGATTTAGTGAGCTGCCCAAAGCCACACAGTGTTTTCAGTAAAAGTGCAAGTTTGATCATAAAATACTGGGAATGGTCCAAGCTGAGCCTTTCGAGCGCTCTCCCAGGTTGTAGACGGATTGGTAGAAGTGCACCAACGACCCTTGGCTCTCTTGTCCGCAGCATGAGCAGGGTCATGCAGTACCACGGGTGCCGGAGCAACATCAAGGATCGAAGTAAAGTGACTGAGTTGGAGGACAAGTTTGATTTACTAGTGGATACTAATGATGTTATTCTGGAAAGAGTGGTGAGTATTGCACCTGACTCTTAAGATGACTAACACGTGAAGAGCTTATGTATTATCAAAATATGAAAAGAAACCCAGGCACCTTAGGAAATGGAAAGGAAGTTTAGCATTTCTTGCCAATAACATTTCTTTCCTCTGATAATTGGCTTTTTCCCACCAAAATAACACAATTGTCTTCAAGTATGTCATTTAAAATATCACTGCCCAGCAGAAGCCTATTTCTTTAAGGGTTTTTTTTTAATGTAATTTTTAAAAGATTTTTTATTTATTCACTTTTAGAGAGGGAAGGGAAAGAGAGAGAGAGAGAGAGAGGGACATCAATGTGCGGTTGCTGGGGGTCATGGCCTGCAACCCAAGCGTGTACACACTGGCTGGGAATCGAACCTGTGACACTTTGGTTCACAGCCCGCGCTCAATCCACTGAGCTACGCCAGCCAGGACCTCTTTAAGGTTTTTATTGCTATGTAGAAAGAGGGGAAGGGAGGAAGCAAGAGAGGGAGAGAAACATCGATGTGCAAGAGATACATCAGTCTGTTGCCTCTCGCACGCCCCCAGCTGGGGACCTGGCCTGCAGCCCAGGCATGTGCCCTGACTGGGAGTCAAACCAGCAACCTCTCTGTTTGCAGGACAATGCCCAACCCGCTGAGCCACACCAGTCAGGGCAAGGAAGCCTATTTTTAGTATGCCTTATTATAAATCTACCTTCCAGATCTGCAAATCCTGTCTGTATGGCAAGAAAAGAGGCCCCTGGATGCAGAGCCCAACCAAAATTTAGTCTGTTTTTACTGTTATTCACAGTCTGCTACACACCCTGACTCACATGAGTGGAAGGGTATGTGGATCCTTTGGTCTAACTCACTGCCCCTAGTTCTACAGGAGAACGTTATTTACAGAAATGCACAGAGGTTGTTGAAAACAAACCCAGCCCTCTGCAGGTCCCGCAGATACTGTGTCCTGCTCTCCTGGCCCCTGCAGTCATCTCTTCCGTAGTGCGAATGCCCACAGACGTCCCCAGGGGCTCTCGTGTTTGGGAGCGCACGTCCTGCCGTGCTCCCCCCTTCGTCACCAGGGGGCACCTCTGTGTCAGTGGGGCCCCACCCGATTCTCCACGCCTGCTCCCACAGCGCAGAGCGGCTCCGTCCAGCCTCGCTCTCGCTGTGAATGCCAGCCTTCTGTGTCGGATGTGTGCCGTCCAGAATATTTCAGATAATCTTAAATCAGATTTGGGGTTTTGGCCCATTCAGAACTGGAGACAAGGGTTGGGAGTGGCTGCTTTCTCCCACCTTTGAGTAGATAATGCTTTAATTATCTGCCCTAAGTGTATATATTCTCACATATAATTCTCTAAATATGTCTCAAATCTTTTAGGTAGTTAACTCTATTAACCCTGAAAAGAAGGTACTAAGCTAATATCCCTTCCACTCGTAGGGCATTTTGCTGGATGAAGCGTCGGGTGTGAATAAGAATCAGCAGCCTGTTCTCCCCGCAGGATTGCAGGTCCCCAAAACAATCGTGTCCAGCTGGAACCGCAAGGTGAGGGCTGCTTTTCAGACTCACGAGAGCATCTGACGTCCGCTCTTGCCCGCCCTGGTCTGCATTCTCTTCTGCTCTGCGGGACGCAGAGCAGGCCGCCCTGTACTCCTCCTCACACACAGATGCACCCTCGTCACACCCCTGCACCCCAGTTTCCCACACACTCTCTCTCACGGACGGCTCTCGGGATGCTCTTCTCCCCCTGGAAGGCATGAGTTGGAATTTATCTTTTAATTCGCCAAGTTGCTATGATATAAAATGTCGTGTTTGTTGATTATAGGCAGGAGAATACAGCAAAAAGACAAAGTCTGAAACTTTCCGGCTCCTTCATGCAAAAAACATCATCCGACCCCAGCTCAGGTTCCGAGAGAAGATCGACAATTCCAACACTCCGTTCCGCCCTAAAATCTTCGTCAAACCCAACGCCCAGAAGCCCCTCCCTCAGGGTGAGTTATGCAGCTCTGCCTGGCGGAACAAGTAGGGGGAAGGGCTCCCTCCCACCTTTCCTCCTTCAAGGGGGAAACTAGCCCACCGGTGAGCGCATCCGCCTCCCGTGTGATGCTGTGTCTGTCGCTCCTTGGGCCCGCAGCGCTCTCCAGAGAAAGGCGGGAGCGCCCGCAGGACCGGCCCGAGGACCTGGACGTGCCCCCGGCCCTGGCGGACTTCATCCACCAGCAGAGGACCCAGCAGGTGGAGCAGGACATGTGAGTGCTCGCCCGGCTGCACTTCCCTGGGGCCGCACTGGGTCACGCTGGTCTTCGCGCCCCAGCTTCCGCTCTGCTTTACCTTTGTGAGTCGTGTCCATGAGCACCAAGAATAGGGAGTTTGTCAGCCGTGACCCCGGTGCTGCTGCTGCCCTCCCCGCCCCTCCCGCTGCTCAGACGCACACCAGAGTGAGAGGTGCTGACGCCCCCCAGACCCAGAACCGGGGCCCACATTCCCTCACCCTGGTTCCCCTTCTGCCCCTCTCCACCTTGCCCGCTAGGTGGGCACTCAAACAGTAAGCTTGGGCTCACTAATTAACTCGATAAGGAAAAGGCGTTTTTCACTGGCAGTACACGCATTTTGGAAAAACTGCTTAAAACAGACGAGAGGACTTTGCCCTCAGAATAAGGAGAAACAGGGATGAATGACAGCAGTGTTAGTGTTGGCCTGTCCCTCGCGCTCAGCGCGGCAGAGCACTCCTTCTGCCCCGGCTCCGCACCGCGAGGCCGTGGGCTGTGCAGAAGTAACGTTGACGAGGGGCAGCCCTGCCGGGGGGCCCAGAAACTCGGGGTTTGTCCGGGTGGATGCTGGAAGAGCAGGAAAAAGACTTTGTGTGACGCACAACCGCATCTGCCGCGCCCTCTCTCATCTCACACACAGTGTTACCCCAGACCACGAGGAACCTGATGTTTCACACTTTCGTTTCATCCACAACACCCCCCACACACAGTGTTTTGCAAAGAAGTGCTTAAATCCTTATAAGTGAAAGAGGTTTTTAATTATCCTACTTTAAGGGCAAGCAAGTATCAACTGATTTTTTTTTAAGATTTTATTTATTTATGTTTAGAGAGGGAAGGGAGGGAGATAGAGAGAGAGAGAAACATCAATGTGCAGTTGCTGGGGGCCGCGACCTGCAACCCAGGCATGTACCCTGACTGGGAATCGAACCTGCGACACTTTGGTTCGAAGCCCGCACTCAATCCACTGAGCTACGCCAGCCAGGGCTCAACTGATTTTTTTTTGACGCTCTTGAATTATCATTGAAATAATGATGCCTTTTATGTAGAGAAAATATTACCACAGTGGTCTTTTCTGATTGGTTTTTCCAAGGTGGGTAATGCAGTTTTCCCCTGAACCATGGAATTAATCAAAAGGGTTTTTCCTTTCATTCATTCAGATTTGCACACCCCTACCAGTACGAACTAGACCACTTCACGCCGCCGGACTCAGTCCTGCAGAAGCCACAGCCCCAGGTCGGTGCCTGGCCCGGTTTGCGGGCGGGATCGGAGGAGCGCGGGGAGGGTCCAGTAACTAGATTGTTGACGTGACTTTGGCTCTCCTTACACATCTTTAAAATAGTAGGCTATAACTCTAGGTCGTTCCTTGAACTCTTAATTCATTCCGTACCTTTGTGCTCCAGCTGTACAGGCCCGTGGGCGAGACGCCCTGCCACTTCGTGTCCTCCCTGGACGAGCTGGTGGAACTCAACGAAAAGCTCCTGAATTGTCAGGAATTTGCCGTGGACCTGGAGGTAACTCGTCAGTAAATGACTTGTCATGAAATGTTTACATTTTCTGTCAGTTCACCTACTAGAGAAGTAGAAAACTAATACTGATTTAAATCTGCTGGGGTTTTGTGGGGGGAGGGGTTGGCAAAAAGCGGTAACCCTAACAGTCTGCCTCGTAGCCGACTTCTCCAAGGCAGTGGAGGAGCAGCCGGCAAACCCGCTCTGCCCCCCCCTCCCCCCACCCCCCGTGTTTCAGCACCACTCGTACCGGAGCTTCCTCGGGCTGACCTGCCTCATGCAGATCTCCACCCGGACGGAAGACTTCGTCATCGACACCCTGGAGCTGCGGAGTGACATGTACATTCTCAACGAGAGCCTCACGGACCCAGCCATTGTCAAGGTCGGCCAGCCTTTCTCAGCTCTTGCCTGTGAATGCAAGACGCAAGTGCTTTTCATTTCACTCCTTCAACACAGACCCGGCAAAATTAAGAGAAATCCTTGTGATTTCCTGCACTAGGGTGCCACATGCTGAACTGCTCTTCTTCCTAAAGCTCCATCAGAACAGCGAGGTCTTAGCTCATCACCGCCCAGAGAAACGTGCGGTCACTTTGACGATTGTGGTGGCAAGCCCCTGCCATCAGGGTGGCGCGCGCTTAACGCCCGCCCTGGAGGCAAGCAGAGCCGTTTTCCCAGAATCCTTGGCTGTCAGCAGAGCGCACAATTAGGAGTGCGGAAGGCTGGGCCCAGAGGAAAAGCAGCAGTTAGAACTCAGCCCATCTTAATCTCCCTCCTGGCTTCTCAGTCAGTGTTCTGATAGCCTAGGGGCCGGGTTCGCGGCAGAGCGCGAGCGGCCCCTCTCTCGGCGACAGCGGGGCCCTGGTTCTGTGCGCAGGTCTTCCACGGCGCCGACTCGGACATAGAGTGGCTGCAGAAGGACTTCGGGCTGTACGTGGTGAACATGTTCGACACCCACCAGGCCGCGCGCCTGCTCAACCTGGGCAGGCACTCGCTCGACCACCTGCTGAAGCTCTACTGCGGCGTGGACTCCAACAAGCAGTACCAGCTGGCCGACTGGAGGATGCGGTCAGTGCGCTCTCTGCCGGGGGGGGGGGGGGGGGCGAGGTGCTGGGGGAGGTGCAGAGGGAGGTGCGGGCGCTCCTCGGCTCACCCGGGGCCTGTGCTCCGCCTGCGGCACCGGTCGGGTCTCGAGTTGAGCTGTTGTCATTGGTCCGAGTGACACTGGGCGTTTCAGTGCCGCGCCGCTGGGGGCCGTGCCAGGCTCTGTTACACTGTGCTTCCTGGCATGGTGGTCGCAAGGGGCGTGCCACGTCAGTGTTCGTCCATGCCGGTCTCGTGGGAAACTCACGCCTCCCGAGCAAGGGTGGGGGGGTGTGTGTGTGTGTCAGAGGACCTCCCGCAGGGGCGAGGGAGCTCTGGGGCCTGTGGCCGGTGCAGCCTGTAGTGAGTGTTTGTGACGGGGCTGGGGCCCGGATATACTCGCGGGCTCCCTGCTCAGCTGGATCCTTTTGCCCCTAAGGGTGCAGAGCTGTTGTACAAAGACCCCACTGAACTCTTCTCCAGTTCTGCATGCCAGCATTCCTAAATAGAACCTAAAGTCCAGACAGAAGAGGAAAACTGACAAAATCTAAAAGCCACGCCCTGTTAATTAACCCTCACCATGTGCCACACACTGTGCTGGGAACTTTCGGACACCGTCCTCTGTAATCCCACAGTAACCGGTGGGGGCCTTTCCGTTCTATAGGCGAGGAGAGCGAGCTCAGACTCAGAGCTGAGGTGGCTTGTCCGAGGTCAGGTGTCTGGAGCTGAGATGCGAGCTCAGATGACAGCTCTTCTTTTCTTTTTAAGACGTTATTTACTTACTTTCAGAGAGAGGTGAAGGGAGGCAGAGAGAGAAGGAGAGAAACAGCGAAAGATCTGTCGATCAGTTGCCTCTCGCACGCCCCCTACTGGGGACCTGGCCCAAAACCCAGGCATGTGCCCTGACTGGGAATCAAACCGGCAAGCGACCCTTTGGTTCACCAGCCGGCACTCAGTCCACTGAGCCACAGCAGCCAGGGTGACGGAGCCCTTATTTTCAACCACATCATCACCCTGCCCCCCTTTCTCCTCGGCTGCCAAGCCCAGGCTTGTCGTGTTGAGGTGCCAGGAAGGTTGATGGAACTATTGTGTTGGCCGTGAGGGAATCCTTCACAGCAAAAGGGGCCAAGCGAGTCCAAGCACCCTCAGCGTAGACAGATTGCCTTGCTGCTCCTGGGGAAATGAGTGGGAGTTTCCTCTCTCTCGATTCTAGACCTCTGCCCGAGGAGATGCTCAACTACGCCCGAGACGACACCCATTACCTGCTTTACGTCTACGACAAGATGAGGCTGGAGCTGTGGGAGCGGGGCAACGGCCAGCCCGTGCAGCTGCAGGTGGTGTGGCAGCGGAGCAGGGACCTCTGCCTCAAGGTAAAGCCCTGCGGCCGCGCACTCCCGGGCGCGCCCCTCCTCCTGGCGAGGCCCCCCACCGTCTCTCCTCGGCCGTTTGAAGGGCCCAGGGCACGGTGTTGGTTCGCATTGATCTCGAATGTGAGTGTTTTCACCTGACGTTTTGCAGAAATTCATCAAGCCCATCTTCACAGACGAGTCTTACCTTGAGCTCTACAGGAAGCAGAAGAAGCACCTCAACACGCAGCAGCTGACAGCCTTCAAGCTGCTGTTCGCCTGGAGAGACAAAACGGCGCGGCGGGAAGACGAGAGCTACGGGTAGGGGTGGGGGCCCCCCCGCCGTCTCTCTCGCACTGAGCCGGTCTGGTGACGAGGAAGGGACGTGCTTTTCCTCCGTCGGCCCCGAAAGCCGGTTCCCTGCTCCCCCGGGGTTACTGCGTGTAGTGGCACCTGCTGGCCGAGCGTGATGCAGTTTGCCCTTTGTGTGCTCTGTTCCAGGTACGTGCTGCCGAACCACATGATGCTGAAGATCGCCGAGGAGCTGCCCAAGTGAGTCTGAGGGCTGAGGGACAGGTTCCGACTGGCGGCAGAGACGCTCTGCCTCCAGGCTGACTCAGAGGAGATTAGCGTTCCGGGGAAGCGGCCAGTCCCCGGGGATTCGCTCTCTGCCCTTGGGCTGCCCTCCGTTAGGAAGTGCAGCTTCCAACCCAAGTGCCAGAGGCTGTGCCTTATGCCGAGTCCAGTGCCCGCCTCTGAGCCTGTGGCGTCAGCATCCACTTTCAGGGGCTCTGTCCTCTGTACTTCCTTCCAGACTAAGGCGCCCTGTGACTTGAAGTGTTTCAGGATGTTAACTGAAGTACAGAGTCTTGAGTTCACCCCGCTGCAGAGCTGCAGAGCTGCAGAGCTGCAGACCAGCAGAGCTGTGGCGCTCCTCTCCAGCTTCCCCATGAGCGGGGGGTGGGCTGTGAGGGGGGCCTGCTCACAGCCTGGGGCAGCCGAGCGCGTGTGGCAGTGGCCGGCCCAGGCCGCTGTGGCATGACCGTGGTGCCTTTGCCTTCCCCTTTGCCGTGGCGCTCTGGTCCTGCCTGGTCATTGTCCTTGTCCGGGAGCCTCTGAGGTCTTTCTGAGTGGCCATTTGCATGTTCTTGTCTTCAGGGAACCTCAGGGCATCATAGCTTGCTGCAACCCTGTACCCCCTCTCGTGCGGCAGCAGATCAACGAAATGCACCTTTTGATCCAGCAGGCCCGGGACATGCCCCTGCTCAAGGTGAGAAGACTTTCTGTAAAGGCTCTCAGCAGGCCGTTCTGTCTGCAGCCTCTCCCCCGTGTAGTCTCCCACAGACGCGATCCGGCCTCCGGTCTCTGAAAGGCCCGAGGAGATAGTAGGGGTTAGGAAACCCAGTGGGCGTGTCTTCTTTACCATGGTCACAGCTCCAGCTTATCCTGCTTAGGCCCTTATTGTTGATAATCCGACCACAAGTGGCGTCCGTCCGAGCCGGTCGCCGGTCGGAGGTAGTTAGCCGGCGGAATAGAAGGGAGCGGGGCTCTCAGGGCAGGGCGCTCGTCCGGAAGCCCGGATGCGGCCCAGGTGCGCGGGGCAGTGCCCCGGCGCGTGTGCCGGCCTCCGAGGGGGACAGGGAAGGACGGGCACGAGAGGCACCGTCCGCCGGAAGACGAGCTCGGTGGTGAAAACGGCTTCCGTTTCTCTTTGGACTCCACGCTGAGTGCTGCAGAGGTGTCCTCTGAGTGGCACGTGGACTTGGAGATGACGGGACTGGAGTCGAAGCCCGCTCGCTCCAAATATAAAGCCCAGGTAACTGGGAAGCTCTGAGAACCTTGGGTCGAAGTGGGGGATTCAGGAAAAGCTGCTTTTGTGAAGGAGGTTCTAAAGTCTAGACGAATGTAGTGAAAGCAGGAAATCCAACCCAAAAGACAGCTCCCGTCTCTGAGTGAGTGTGCGCTGCACAGGGACCGGTGCGTGTGCGTGTGTGTGCATGTGTGTGCATGTCTGCATGGGCACACGTGCACGCGCGCCGCCGTGTCGGCATTACAGTTCCAGTGGACTTGCATGTTTGGCCTGTGTTGTGCCGGGACAGTTTTACCGTGTCGCCTCGGCGGCGTCATCACTGCGTGCTAAGTCACGTTTGTAAGTTTTGGAAGACTCCTGATTCGGGAAGACTTAGAATTGGCGCCCTTGAGGAGAGAAAGAAGAGGCTCTGGGGACAAACACAGTCAGTCCTCCTGTTAGAGCTTCTTGGCTCCGCTGTCTGTCCGAGCAGAGAGAGAGAGAGACCCTGGTCACCGGGGACGACTCTCTCGGGCCCCTTGCCGTCCCCTCCTGCTTTGTGCCCGGTCGTGATGAGGGTCCTTTTCTTCCACTCTGCAAGCGGTCACTGAGCGCTCGGTGACCTCAGTGCCAGGCACCGGGAGGGACGAAGGGATGAAAGAAAGTCTCAGGCTCTTGGAACGCAGCCGGGGGAAGGCGTTTAGTCTACGCCCAGGGAAACACGTGTGCGCCGTCGGGTCAGGCCATGCGCCCCAACGTGCCCGTGTTTCTCTTCTGCAGTCGGAGGTCGCAGCCGGAGTGAAGAAGACCGGACCGCTGCCCAGCCCCGAGGTAGGGCGACGCGTCCGCGGTCTCTTCCTGGGGAGGGCCCCGCCAGCCGGCACCCCACCCCACCCTACTGGGAAGGCCCGAGCACCCACCGGTGCTTCACGGCGGCCTGTGGCTTCTGTCTGGTGCAGAGACTGGAGAACGTGCTCTTCGGACCTCACGACTGCTCCCACGCCCCTCCCGACGGCTACCGCATCCTCCCGACCAAGGGTAACGTCGCGGCCTCCGGAGCAGCAGAGAGGCGAGGCTGTTGGGTGCCGCCCCGTGGGCGCTGACCGGGCTCGCTTCCGTCCCTGCAGGGCCGGCGCCCGTGCAGAGACAGGCAGGCCTCTTCCCCGACGGGAGCGGAGAGGACGCGGCCCTCCTGGATTCCAAATGCCTCATCGCCTCCGCGGTCATCACGATATTTAACGTAAGTCTCGCGGGCACGGCAGGGGGGTGAGGCAGCTCTGCAGGGGTTTGCGGGGTCACTGCTCCTGGAGGGCCACTGCCGCCTTCTGACTAGTGCCCAAAGGAAAGCCCGGCCGCAGTGGGGTTGGCGTGGGGGCAGGTTGCAAGGTGCTTCGCAAGTGCCCCTCCGGACAAGGGCCTCCGTGAGAGGTGGATGAAGGATTCTCTCTGAGCTCGGTGTAGAGGAACCCTAAAGGAAGGATTGTAATCTTTTTTTAAAAGATTTTATTTTGAAAAGATTTCACTTACTTATTTTTTAGGGAGAGAGGAAGGGAAGGAGAAAGAGAAAGAGAAACATCAATGTGTGGTTGCCTCTGGCATGCTCCCTACTGGGGACCTGGCCTGCAACCCAGGCATGTGCCCTGACTGGGAATTGAACCAGTGACCCTTTGGTTCGTAGCCTGTGCTCAATCCACTGAGCTGCACCAGTCAGAGCTATTTGTTTACTTTTTAGATAGATGGAAAGGGAGGAAAAAAGAGAGGGAGAGAAACATTGATGTGTGAGAGATACATTGACTGGTTGCCTCTAACATGCCCTCTGCTGGCGACCTGGCTCACAACCCAGGCAGGTGCCCTGACTGGGAATCGAACCAGCGACTCTTTGGTTCACAGGCCAGTGCTCAGTCCACTGAGCCACACCAACCAGAGCAAGGATTGCAATCTTTTTTTTTTTTTTTAATTTATTGATTATGCTATTACATTTGTCCCTTTTCCCCCCTTCCCTCCCCTCCACCCTGTACCCCCTCTCCCAACCACGTTCCCCCCCTTTAGTTCACTTCCATGTGCAATTCTTATGAGTTCTTTAGCTTCTACCTTTCCCGTACTATTCTTGCCCTCCCCCTATCTATTTTCAACCTACATTCTATGCTACTTATTCTCTATACCTTTCCCCCTCCCCCTACTCCCACCCCCCTGTTGCTAGCCCTCCATGTGCCCTCCATTTCTGTGGTTCTGTTCCTGTTCTAGTTGTTTACTTAGTTTCTTTTGGTTTTGCTTTAGGTGTAGTTGTTAATAATTGTGAGTTTGCTGTCCTTTTACTATACATGTCTTTTTCTTTATCTTCTTTTCTTAGATAAGTCCCTTTAGCATTTCATAAAATAAGGGCTTGGTGATGATGAACTCCTTTAATTTGACCTTATCTGAAAAGCACTTTATCTTCCCTTCCATTCTCAATGACAGCTTTGCTGGATAGAGCAATCTGGGATGTAGGTCCTTGTCTTTCATGACTTGGAATATTTCTTTCCAGCCCCTTCTTGCCTGTAAGGTCTCTTTGGAGAAATCAGCTGACAGTCTGATGGGAACTCCTTTGTAGGTTACTGTCCCCTTATCTCTTGCTGCTTCTAGGATTCTCTCCTTCGTTTTTACCTTGGCTAATGTAATTATGATGTGCCTTGGTGTGTTTCTTCTTGGGTCCAACTTCTTTGGGGCTCTCTGAGCTTCTTGGATTTCTTGGAAGACTGTTTCCTTTGCCAGATTGGGGAAGTTCTCCTTTATTATTTGTTCAAATAAGTTTTCCACTTGTTGCTCCTCCCCTTCTGGTACCCCTATAATTCGAATGTTGGAACGTTTAAAGGTGTCTTGGATGTTCCCAAGACTCTCCTCGATTTTTTTAATTCTTATTTCATCATGCTTTCCTGCTTGGTTGATTCTATCTTCCTTCTGGTCCACTGTATTGTTGTGAGACTCAGATTCCTTCCTTTCTCTATTGGCTCTCCTCCGCGTATCTTCCTGCATCTCTTTTATGGTAACCTGCATCCTTTCATCTAAATTGCGCCCAAAATCAACCAATTCCGTGAGCTTTCTAATCACCAGCGTTTTGAACTGTGCATCTGATAGATTGGCTATTTCTTGGTCGCTCAAAAGGATGAGTCCTGGGGGACTGATCTGCTCTGTTGCAGACATGTCTTATGTCTTTCCCTGTCTCTCTTTTTTTTTTTTTTTTTGGTCTGGTCGCTCTTGTTAAGGTGGGGGGCGGAGCCTTAGGTGTTCACCGGGGCTGGGCGCCCCAGTCCCTAGATTGTGACGTTATATGTGGGGGCGGGGGCGGGGGCGGGAGGGAATCAATGGCGGCAGTTCAATTCTCCTGGGCCCAGACCTTTCCCCGGGCTCCTGGGTTGCGAGCTCTGCCCTGGTCCACAATCGCTGCCCCACTGGTTCCGGCAGCCGCAGCGTGCGTACTCAGGGTCCACCGCTGCGTTCCTGCGTCCCGATGGCTGTCGCGCCGATTCCGAGCCAAATTTCCCCCGACCTCCGTGCGCTGCCGACCCGCGCCAGCCCCGCGCCCGCTCGGCTCGTTGTCTCCTACCAGTCTGCATGTACGGGTCTACTTCAACTTCTTGGCTGTCCGACTTCCATTCAGATGAATCCCCTGTCGGTTCTGGGTGTTATGCTGACTGTATTTTATTGTTGTTGTAATCTTGGTTGTGCGAGGAGGTACGGTGCGTCCACCTATTCCTCCATCTTGCCGGAAGTCCAGGATTGCAATCTTGACTCATGGGTGAGGCACTCACGGGTGGCAGGGTGGAGGGCGTGGGCTACAGTGAAACGCAGCAGGACTATTCCCTATACATTACATCTCACATGCCTTGTGGATTGTAAGGCGCGATGCCTTTCCTTTCCACCCCTCTTCCCTCTCAGGCGTGCGTTTCCTGAGCTCGAAGGGGCCCCACGAGACTTAAAAACCAGGAGCAGTGGGCAGTGGCCGCTCACCTCGGGCCGGCCCCTGGTCCGTCTCCAGGGCCCCCGTCTCTCTGACGTGTCCGTGAGCCCCAGCGGCCCGTCCTGGTCTCACTGTCCCCCGCTTTAATGAACGTCCTCTCAACAAATGCGTCAGGTGCCCAACAGCGTGGTGTCACGGGCCACTCCAGTGCCCCACACGTCACGACGCGGTCACCGTGTGAGAGGTCACCGTGTTGAGAGGTCGTTTCTGGCTTCTGCAGGAGCCCAGTGCTGAAGAGAACAGGAGGGGCCCCTTAACGGTCGCCCAGAAGAAAGCGCAGAACATCATGGAGTCCTTTGAAAACCCATTCAGGATGGTGAGTGACGGCGCGGTAGGGGTGACAGAGGGTCTGCCGGGAAGGGTAGCCGAGGGCCCTTGGAGTGCCCACAGGGCTCGGGGGGCAGTGAGGTCTCCCGAGGCGAAGCCGGCAGGAAGGCCTCACGGAGTCCAGTCCGCCGAGGCCGCCGGGCGGGCGCCCCGAGCTGAGGCCTCCAGAGATAGAGCCGGCCAGAAACCCCTCTGGGGGCCCCGGGCCCGGGTCCCGTTGCCTCCAGCACCTCACGGGACCGTCTCCGTTCCCCAGTTTCTGCCGTCGCTGGAGCACCGCGCTCACGTGTCCCAGGCCGCAAAGTTCGACCCGTCATCAAAAATCTACGAAGTAAGTGGACTTGTCAGGCTTTCTAAGACAGACTTTGGAAGGAAGGGGGACTTCTTACTTCTGTGAACCAGTTCCTGTTGTAAACAAGCCCGTCTGTGAACCCCTGGAAATGAATGTAAAACCCTTCCTCTACAAGCGTTTCCAGAGAGAGGGGCCGGAACTCTAACCCAGTTCTCAGAAGCATTGGGGAGCCTTTGAGAAGCAGGTCCTTGGGGGCGTTTTTTTGACTTGTTTTTCGTCTTTTAAAGTTGAAGTTTAACTTACATGTAGTGAAGTACTCCGGTGTTAACTGTACAGCTTGATGCATTTTTGTATTTGAGTATTACTTTAAGGCTCTTGCAGGTGACAGCTTAAATTTTGAAACACTCTGTTTTATATTGTTTGGTTTGTTTTAACAGCATTATGAATAAGAATAAGGAAACACCTTCCCCGGATCCCCATGCGATGCTCCTGGGAGCCAGCGCGTTAATTGTTAAAAGCCTCCTTCCTCCCTGCAGGAAGTCCCGCCCCGGTCAGACGGGCGGCCTGGCTCCCTCTGGCTCACCAGCCGCGCCCGAGAGTCGGGCCTCGCCCCGCCGGGCCCCAGCCCCGCCGCTGGTGGTCAGCGCGTTGTCGTTAGAGACGGGAGTCAGGCGGAGGCTCTGCCTTCCCTCCTCCTTCCCCTGCCGGGTGTGGCGCGTCCCCCAGCCGTCCGCCCCTTACCATGCTTACGTCTGCGGCCACCTAGATGTGTGCTGACGCCACGGGGACACGTGCTGTCGCCAAGAAGCACAGCGGGCTTGCACAGGTCCCGCCTCGCGTTCCAGCCCAACCCCCCCCCCCAAGCCACGTGTGTCCCTTCGGACACGTCGTTCGGCCCTGGGAGCCGGGTGCCCAGGGTTACGGAGGGCTGGACGGGATGCTGACGTGAGCGCGCCGGCCCGGGGCCTGGGGCCGTGGTGCTGCGTCCTCCTGCACGAGTGTCGCTGATAAAGCCAGCATGGGCCTTGACTTTCCGTGTCACCAGATCTGGAATTTGTGACTCAGAATGTGTGTGGTTCTTAGGCTAGTGTGCTCTGCATCGCCTCATTAAAAAAAAATAAAGCATTCCCAGGTGGCTGAGTTTTGGAGTTTTTTTGTTTTGTTTTCATTATAGATCAGCAACCGCTGGAAGCTGGCCAGCCAGGTACAGGTACAAAAAGAATCTAAAGACACTGCCAGGAAGAAGGCAGCTGAGCACACAGGTAGCACTCACTTCCTTGTCGAGCCGGCCAGGCCGAGGTCCGTGTTAGGGAGCAGCGCCGGCTCGCCGGCCGTCGTGGGGTGCGCAAGGCGCCGGGCACCGCCACAGATGGCACTGGTGCAGCCACTGCCCCGGGCGTGCCTTCCCCTGAGGGACAGTGGGTGGTGCACCCCCAGGCGTGCGTCCGGTCGGATGGCAGGAGGCCTTACGCGGAGAGGGGGGCAGGAGGTGCCGGGTGGAGAAGCCCAGGGGGCGCAGGGGGAGGCCGGGGGTGAGGGGGGCTCCGGTGGGCACGGCAGGCAGGCGGGGCGGCCTGCGAGGGCTGTGAGCGGGGGCGTGCCGCGACCGGGCGTGCTCTCTGGGCCAGCCGCTCTGGCTGCCCGTGGAGAGCGGAACGTAGAAGGCAAGGACGGGAGCCCATAGGGGACACGGTGGTCACGGAGGTGAGGGGGTGCCAGCTGGGTGTCAGGGCAGCGAGGAGGCGGCAGCAGCTGCTGTCAGGACTGGGTGCTCCTGTGGTAGAGCCGCCCGCGTCTGGGGAGCAGTCTGGTGTGGGGGGTGAGGGCACCTGGGGGTTTGTCCTGAGCGCTAGGAGGACGGGGTCGCCGTCGAGGGGCTGAGATGCCAGAGGGGCCCGTGCCATGCCGGAGAGGCTTTGTCTCCGGTCCTCGGCGAGCTGTGGCTGGGGCTCCTGCTAAACGTCCTCGGGAGACGGCAGACAGGCCCTGGGTGGTGGCTCGGGTTCCTGGGAGCGGAGCAGGTCTGGGGGCGGCGGCGGCGGGGGATCGCCAGGTTGAGAGGGGGTGGCCGTCCGTCGGAGACCGGTGACCAGAGAGAGGGAGGTGGGACCGGCTGGGGAGGCTGAGGGGCAGGGGGCGGGTCCACCCACAGCCCCGCCCACCGTTCTCTCTCTTGCAGCTGCCCGGGACCAGGCTGTCCAAGAGTTCCAGGCGGCGGCGGAGCAGGCCGTGTCTGTCCGACGGCAGGCTGCCGTACGTGCTGGCCCTTCTGCTTTTCCTTTTGAGAAATGAGGTGCCCCTGGTCACTGTCAGGTGGTCCCCAAAGATCAGGAGGGTTCCCCATGCTTCGAGTTCAGTGCTTTTGGCTCTCCCATTCATCTTGACTTGCCAGTTAGTGCCTGCCTCGTGTCTCTGGAACAAGTTTATATTGTAACTCCTCCGAGATGGCTTCTTCCACCGGGTTTACATAAACAGACCAGGCCACTGCCGGGGAGCGGGCAGGTGTTGCGGTGCACGGCGCTCTCGGCCTCAGCAAACACCCCACCTCACTCCAGAGTGCTCTGGGGGGCTGGCCCCTGCCTTTCCTAAATGCCCGGGTGTCAGCCTCCACGCAGACTCCAGCCCGCCCCCCATTCCCGGTCACTGAGCCCACCTTCACAGCGTGGGAGGCACCTGGGCCCCTGCAGTGTGCTCACGTACTTCCGCGCTTCCTTCCCGTGCGTGTGTGCTGCCCACAGCTGGAAAATGCCGCCAGGAAGAGGGAGCTGGCAGCAAGCGACCCAAGGACCGCAGAGCAGGGACAAGAGAAGAAACGACTCAAAATCTCCAAGAAGCCGAAAGATCCAGAGGCACCAGAAAAAGAGTTTACGCCATATGACTACAGCAAGTCGGATTTCAAGGCCTTTGCTGGTGAGGCCAGACCGGGTGCCCTGGGAGGGGCGGCTGTCCGTGGTGGGTGGGGCGGCTGTCCGTGGTGGGTCGGGTAAAGAGAGAGCCCCAGAACTCGTGCAGCGAGCCCGGGAAACTGCAGGGACTGGGCAGAAGCCCCGCCCACCGCCCCAGCCTCCTGCCACCAGAGCAGTTTATAGCCAGTGAACGCCTGGGCTGAGTGGCGTCGCCCTTCCCCGTGATAGCGCGGGTCCAGAAACACTTGCTCGCTCTCTCGCACACAGCAGGGCTCTTGTTTGTTGAAGGAACCTGTCCTGACTGGGTGGCTCAGCTGGGCTTCCTCCGCAGACAGCGAAAGGTCGCTGGTCAGACCCCCTGTCGGGGCACAGTCCCCACCTGGGGCTGTGGATTCAGTCCCCAAGGCAACCTATCGATGTTTCTTCCTCACGTCACTGTGTCTCCCCCTCCTTTTTTCCCTCCCTTCCCCTCTCTCTAAAAATAAATAAGTAAAATCTTTTTTAAAAAGGGTTAGACAAAACCTGGTTCCCGTGAGATGGAGCTCGGGTTGGTCCCTCAGCGGGTGGGAGCCCACCCACTTCACATGGCGTTTCTGACCGCCGGCCTCCTTGCCGGCACGTTCCTCTGGAGACGGGCGAGGCAGGGCCGGGCGGTGGCCGCGGCCCAGGTTACCGGCGGGGGCGGGGCCTCGCGCAGAGACCAGAGCGGGTTTCCTTGGTGTGAAAGTGGCCAGCACGTTAGCGCCCGCCCTCCCTCCTGAGAGGGGGTCTGTGAGCCTGGTGGCCCGGCTGCGGGGAGAGTGACGTGTGACTGTGACGTGTGGCTGTCATCAGCCATAAGCCCCCGTCACGAGGGGCCGCACACTGACGGCCCGCACTTCCAGGGCGTGTGCGCCCAGCCCAGGAAGGGGCCCGCGGTGTGTGTGACCCCACTCACCCAGTCCCTCTCCCGCCTTTCAGGCAACAGCAAGTCCAAGCCTTCTGCCCAGTTCGACCCAAACAAGCAGGCCCAGCCTGGCAAGGTAGGAGGCGCGCTCGAGAACTCGGCGTGCACGTGGCGCGTGTTTTCTGACCTCTTCCCACCCCGGGACGTCGGTTCGCTGGGAACCTGTGCGTGTCTCTGCCCTCACCTCCCTGCTTCCCAAGCACCCACAGTGCCCACCGACTATTCCGGCAATTAAAGCACTTTTCAGAGACTGTAGAGGCGGACACGGGGTGTCGAGGGCTGTCTTCCTGTGCCGGCTCCCGTGGGAACTAGTGCTGCAGGCCAGGGCGCCCCTTCCGGCGCCAGCACAAGCCCGCATCCGCCCCGCGTGGGCGTTGGTGCCCGTCGGTGCCAGGCGGGGCCGGAGGTTTGGCATGCAGAGCGGGGGCCCAGTTGCGAGGAAAGCCGGCACTCTGGCGGTGCCAGAATCTTGCCTTCTGTGCTTCTTTTCAGAAATGTCTTGCAGCCAAGAAACTCAAACAGCCAGTGGGAAACAAAAGCATGTCCTTTCCAACCGGAAAGTCAGACAGGTACGTGGTAGGGGCTCACGTGCCTCGGCAGGAAAGATGCCGAGAGCGCCTCCCGGGACCAGATGCCCCTCTCCCTTTGACTTGGGGAGAAGGAGGTGGGCAGAGGGTCGCTGCTGTGTCCTGTGACCCACAGTCCAGTTGTTTGACCCCCTCCCCCTACTGCCAGTTTCCCAGGGCCGCCCCAGAGCAAATCAGACTGCAGCTTAGCTAGATAAGCCTGTTTCTGAGCACTGAGATAAAAGTCAGCATGCAAATAGCGTGGGTTATCTCTGTTGAATGTTTTATTTGGAAGTATGAAATCCTGCTCCTCAGAGCAGACCCTGAGGTTAGAGGGCCCAACCCCAGGGTGCGGCGTGACATGACGGGGACGGGACCTGCCTGATCTCGGTCAGCTCAGCCAGCCCGAGCTGGGCCTCGGAGCGCCTGCCCGGCCCACACTCCCTGGGGTGGGCGGCGGGTGGGGAGGGCGGGGGCTGCGTTGCTGCCCTGCTCAGTTCTCCAGGGCCCCAAACAAACCGTCCTCCCGCAGTCTGCATCATTGGGGTCTGCCACCGTTCATAAACCAGCTGAGAGCAAACACCCAGCCAAAGTGGAAGAAGCAACTTCTGTTTTCACGCTCTCTCTGCAGGGGTTTCAGGCACAGCTGGCCAAAGAGATAGTGCTGGAAGAGACCCTTGGACCCCCCCAGCGGGCTGGAAGCACCAAATGGTGGTGTTGGTTTTGTACAGACTCGTTTTTAAACCATTAAAAATAATTCTTACCGGAAGAAAGCTGGTCCCTGGCTTTTCTTTGCTGCCACCACGGCGCTGGCAGGAAAGGGCAGGCCCTGTCCCGTTCGGACTGCCCCCTCGGCCGCCCCCCTCCGCGGGTGAGTGTGCCCTGGGAGAGACCGGAAGCCCCCGAGGCACAGCGTGGGGGATCTCCCGTGACTCAGCAAAGGGCGGCGCCCACACTGCAGAGAGCACGACGCCCAACTGACTCCGGGTCGGGAGGGTCCCGGGGCCACTCTCCTTCCTGCACACGCGTCCAGACAGGGTGGCGGGAGCCCCGTGGTCCGAGTGCCATTGGGATGAGGGGCTGGTGCGGCGCTAGAACCGCACCAGCGGTTCTACTCTCCGAGGGCCCGGGCCCTCCCTGTCCTTTCTCTTCTCTTTTCCTTTCAATTCTGCTTTTCCCCGGCTATAAAATCATGGCATGTTCATTATACATATGTAGAATGTGTATGTAAGTATTTTTTAAGACTTGATTTATTTATTTTTAGAGACAGGGAAAGGTGGGGAGAGAAACATCGATGTGCATCAATCGGTTGCCTCTTGCACGCCCCCAACCGGTGACCCGGCCCACAGCTCAGGCCTGTGCCCTGACTGGGAATCGAACCAGCGATCTTTCAGTTTGCAGGCCGGCACTCAGTCCACTGAGCCACACCAGCCAGGGCTGTGTATGTGAGGTCCGTCCAGAAAGTATCCAGCCATGTAACACCAAAAAAGCTATTTATTGAAGAAAATACAAGAATCAAGAAAGATTGTACACAGAATAATGACGCCTCAGTCCCCTTCAAAGTAGGCACCTTGGGGTCTCACAGAGTTCCAGTCGTCATCGGCCGTCCTGTCTTGTTTTCCTGAATCTCATCAATGGTCTGAAATCTCTTCCCTTTCAAAGCTGATGTTAGTTTTGGGAAAAGCCAGAAGTAGTCGCAGGGCACCACATCTGGGCTGCAGGGGGGCTGAGTCACCTGGGCGACCTGATGTTTCGCCAAAATACTGCACGGGACATGATGTCTGAGCGGGCACATTGTCATGATGAAGCTGCCAGTCACCAGTTGCCCATAGCTGCGACCCTCTGAATCATCCAAATAGTTTCCACGGAGGAATGTTCAAGCTTAACGCCAAATTCAATGCAGATTCGTTGCTCTACCCACTCATTTTAAAGGTGACGGCCCCACAGTACCCATGCTCACTCAACGGCAGGTACTGCCCCCACTGACTAGTACAGCGAGGGCGTCATTGTTCACGCATGCGCATTCCAGTCCACTCTCCCTGGCTGCCAGGTTAGATGGATGTCACGCCCAAACCGTCCACGTTTTATTGACAATGGCTGGACTTTCTCCAGACAGGCCTCGTGTACGTAACTTACAAACTTGGATTTCTGTTTCTACTATTTTTTACCTTTAAAGATTGTTTCTCATTCTAAAATGGATTTTAGCTCATCCCCATTATTAAACATAGATGTTTCCATTGTTATACTTGTTAAAATAATGCAGCATATGGAACGTGTATAAATTTGTGACTCAGTCTCTGGCTATGTCTTTAGAATTCCATTTGATTTTCATCCTGAGGTGGGCTATTAAGTCAAGAAAACAGAATAATGCCATTCTTTTTGTTTTCACAAATAATTAAACAATGAACCTATTTTCTTGGAATTTTTCCCACAAATTATTGGGAAGGCTGCCTGCCGTACCCTGGGGGCTAGGGGGCCAAATCAGGTGCCACTCTGCCCTGGGGGTGCAGCCGGTGAAGCGGAGCGGCCAGCAGCCCCGTCCCAGAGTGGGCTGGGCTCCGTCCCAGAGTGGGCTGGGCTCCGTCCCAGCCCGGAGGGGAATGGCTGAGACAGACAGGAAGGCCGGACTCCCAGGGGCTGAGCCAAAGAGATGCTTTCCCCCCTCTTCTGCAAGTGTGGTCAGCGCGGAGAGCCAGTGTGCACATGGGCGGTCCTCAGCCTCTGGCTCCTCCCATCCGGTCGCTGGGACAGGCCTTCAGCTGCACGGGCTCCACCCACCTGTCCTCACTCCGGTGGCTGCAAGGAAGGGGGGGGGGAGGGAGCGCGCACCCAGCCTCCCTCTCAAAGGATGCTGCCCATTTCCACGTCCCACTGGCCGTAGCCTAGTCGCACGGCCATGGCAAAGACACTGGGAAGTCACTTCAGCGCCCACATGCCCGGCTAAAGTCACAGAATTCTGTCCCAGAGTTCGGACACCACGGACACTGAAGCATGGGAAGTCTTCCTAAAAATGGCAGAGCCTCCGCCATCCAAAGTGGCCAGAGGGGAACTTTTAAGAGTGAGAAATGGCCCTGCCTGGTGTGGCTCAGTGGGTGGAGTGCCGGCCTGCAAAGCAAAGGGTCGCTGGTTCGATTCCCAGTCTAGGGCACATGCCTGGGTTGCAGGCCAGGTTAGCTCCCCTGTAGGGGACACGTGAGATGCAACCACACATTGATGTTTCTCTCTCTCTCTTTCTCCTTCCCTCCTCTTTTCTCTAAAAATAAATAAAATATTTAAAAAATATAAATAAAATTGCCCTGGCTGGTGTAGCTCAGTGGATTGAGCGCGGGCTGCGAACCAGGCATCGCAGGTTCGATTCCCAGTCAGGGCACATGCCTGGGTTGCAGGCCATGGCCCTCAGCAACCACACCTTGATGTCTCTCTCTCTCTTAAAAAAAAAATAGTAACTCTTAAAAATATATATATATATATATATATTTATATATATATAAAAGTGAGCAATGATCTCCTAGTGCAGGTGGCCCAACGAGGCTTCGTGAAATGCGTGCGGAGCCGGACCTTGGAGGGAGGGGAGGCCCGAGAACCTTGCGGTCGGTGCTGCTCGGGCCCTGAGAGAGACCAGCCGGGAGCCGGTTAGAAGGCAGAGGCCCCGGCTCCACCCCAGGCCTGCCCAGCAGTGTCGGGGTGAGCCCAGACACCAGGACTGAGCGAGGAGGAACCTCTCGAGGGGGTTCCTACGCGAGCCCAAGTCCAGAACCACTGTTGTCCGCGAGGCTGTGCGCCCCAGCCCTTGCCTGGTGGGGCGCAGCGGGAGCCCCATTGACCCAGGGTGAGAGGAGGAAAATGCGTTGTTTCTCACAGAGCTCTGCAAAATGATGCTGGTCCCTTATTCAGAAATTATCCTTAGTAGTTTTTTGTCAGTGTGTGTTTGCCTTTTTTGAAAAGGCCAGCGGGGGTGGGAGGGGGATTATAGACAGGGGTTGAGGTCTTTTCAAGTGTCCTTTCTTGCAAAAGAAAAAGTTGGCAACCCAATGCCAGTCCCCAAATGTGTTTTGGAACTTGTCCTGGCCCATGGAACCCTGAAGTCCAGGATTCTGCGCCACGGGATGAAGACGCGGGCCTGGGGACGTCTGGGCAAGTGTGTGTGGGGGGGGCGGGGGTACTTGGGTTGCTAAGGACGGGGTGGCAGGTGGGGGGAGGCTGGTGGGAAACCGCTCAGCGACTCTGAACCGGGGAGGCCGTGCGGGGGCCTGCGCGCCGGGAAGAGGGATCCGGCAGGGCTCTGGAGGTCGGAGGTGGAGAGCATTTATGAGCAACAAGGCCCTTTGCTGGCTGCTGTTTGTGGCGCCTGGGGCAGCTTGCCATGGGCATTTCCAACCAAGTAACACCACAGATTAATAAAACTGGTTCTGCCTAGCCGAACACCAAGCTTAAAAAAGGACTTTCAAGTGCTGACTGCCAAAACGTCTTCGCCAGTGACAGGCCGCACTGTGGGGCAGCCCCGCTGAGACCATCGCCTTGGCCGTAGCCACTGGCCCAGCTTTCCCCGCCGCCCCTTTTATAAACCGTCCACCTTGAGGAACTGAGGTAGTCCGCCCACTAGACAGTAGCGCTTTGAACTGAATTCTCCATGCCCATTGGTCTGTGCTCTACCCAGGTTTTCTCCGGCCTGATTCTCCATGTTAGTTGTGAATTTAACTGGGCAGCGTAACTATGGCAATTTCTGGCCAAACTACAGTTTTCCTCCTTGTGACCTGAAGTTGGGTGACATTTCTGGGCTTGTGGTCCTGTACTTCTGGGGACTTTCTGGCCTGGAATTTATTCAGGGCTTTTGTGTTCCAGAGCTTGGAAAATTTGCAGTTAGCTCTACACACTGGCCTAGAAATCCTATTTGCTGTCCGTGCTTGAAGCAAGCTGACAGTCTCACGTTTGGGGGCAAAGGGTGTGTCACGTTTGGCCTCTCTCGTCTGAGGATGTACACGCAGGGACGGTTCTGTTCATCTTGCAGGAGGGGTGGGACGGACTTGATCCTCCACCGCCCCCCTGTGCAGTGTCCCAGGAATGCCAGGGCCCCTGTCTGGGCTCCACGGTTCGGCACCTAAACGAAAGTCGAGTCAGCTGATTCCATAAGGTGCCTGGACTGGGGTTTGGGCTTCCCACTTCCACTCAGTCTCTGACCCAGCGCTGCCAGCGCTCGGGACACACTGTCCCGAGTTGCAGGGGCTTACAGTCTGGCTCGGGGTTCAAGCCAGAGCAGAACACTGAGCAGGCGATCCCAAGTCAGATAGAGACATGAAAGTCTGGATGTTGGAAGTACAGGCTGCAGTGTGAACACCCAGGTACAGGGCTGGGGCCAATGAAGCCTGTTGCGACTGGATACAGCGGTTGATAGTATCTTATCTGTTGCGTGATCCTTCGAGAACCAGCGCACCACCCCAGGTCCAGTAACGGTTCCAAGGAAGCTATCTGTTAGCGATCTTGATTCACTTCCCTTTTAAGAAGTTTCAAGTCAACAAGGACACATTGTTGCTGTAAGGCTTGAGGCTGCACTAACAGAAAAACACTGTTGTGTTACTCATTTGGGGTTAATAGACAGGGAACATGCTTTCTACTTTCAAGTGGAGGCTGCAAAACACCTCCTGTGCAAAAAACATCCCTGTCATCATGTCACCAGTAGGTTACACCAGTCTCATCTCCCTGCCTTGGCATGCAAAGCACTAGCTTGCAGAGCAATTAGCATTTAATACTTGGTAATTCGCATGCTTAATGTGAT